CGCGGGGTGTGAGTCCGCGTGTGTGAAACGTCCGGAACGGGCTCGTCCACGGACGGGGAGGGGGCTCGTGGGGGCCGGGGGAGGGGCGGTGACGGTTAACGGGGAGGGGGTTGCTGTTGGGGAGACAGAATGTTCTGGAGTTGGTGGTGGTAGCGCCACCGCGCCCATGGTTGTGAGCGGTGATTTCATATGGATTCCAGGTGCGGAAACAGAGGCCTCCCAGCTGGCGTCGTGCCCTCACGCCCCTGGCCCCACAGGCCCCACCGGCCCCAGGAGCAGGGGTGCAGCTGAGCCCCGCACGTAATCGGTGCTCGGCATGCCTGCTGATGGAATTCGAGGGACCCTCCCTGGGTGCTCCCGCCTCCGGGACCTCCCTTCCTGGGCTCCGGGACGGCAAGCAGCTTTCCCAGGCCACCGTGGCCAGCCCAGCAGCGGCTCTGTGCTGCAGCGGGGGTGGGGTCACCCTTGGGCCAATGCCCAGTCCTGCTCTGAGCGTGGGGGCCACCCCAGCAGCAACCTCGTGGCCGGGCCTCCCCCCCCCCCCCCCCTCGCTGCAGCCTGCTGAGCTCATTGGCCCAGGCCGCGGCCTCCAGGCACCTGTTGCTGTCTGTCTGGGGGCCACCCTCCCCGTGCTCCATCTGTCCAGCGGGCTCACTGTGGCGGCTGTGCAGTAAGTAGGGCAGGGGGCGGCCTGGGCAGAGGTGGGGGGTCCCCTGGGTCTGGGGGAGGCCATCTCGGAGGTCCGCGGGAGTCCCCAGCTCTCGTGGCGGCCCCCCTACATACCTGAGGGCACGTACCTGCGGCCTGGCCTGTCGGGGCCCCTCCCCCAGTGCCCTGCTCCAGCCCCAGGGAAGGGTCACTTTTCTGGCCCGAGACGTGACACAATGGTGCTGGCAGCCAGGGGCACTGGAGACCCCAAAGGCTTTGGGAAATCGGCAGCACTGGGTTCGACCACAAGCTCCCTCCGACCTCTGGCTGACGGCTGTCTCCAGAGACTCAGTTTCCTCATCTGCCCTATGGGAGCAGAGGCAGTGGGAGGAGGCAGGGGCCCCAGCATTGGGGTCAGGGAGCTCCCGGGGGGGGGGACCTGCCCCTCCCTGCCTGTAGTGGCC